TACTCCTCCCTTCTCCATCCCTCCCTATGGTGGATCATAGTTTTACTCCTCCCTTCTCCATCCCGCCCTATGGTGGATCAGAGTTCTACTCCTCCCTTCCTCATCCCTCCCTATGGTGGATCAGAGTTCTACTCCTCCCTTCCCCATCCCTCCCTATGGTGGATCAGAGTTCTACTGAGCCTTAGGAGCCCTAGGAATTACAAAGCTTCGGACACTCCACCCACAACAAATAAACTCATAGAAATCATGGTCTAAACATCAGGCCAACTGCACCTTGTGACTGGGGAGCTGAGGGGGTTCTCCAGAGATGGGACAAGCATCTGCTTGAAGGCTCAGCATTAAATGGATATCACTGCAAACTTTTGTCTAAAAAAAAAAGCACCTTCTCCAGATTTGAGTTAGAGAATCAAGAATTGTATGATTCAAACAAATAAACAAACAAACCTTCTTACTAAACTAGAAGAATTGTATGATTACTAAGTAAATTGTATGATTACTAAGTAAATAAACTGAAATCCTATAAGCCCTGGAGGCTCAGAGTCTTTTAAGAGACAATATCATGACAGATAAGGAACACAGAATTTATCACTGGTCCTAGTATGGGGTCTGCATATTGGAAGTTGTACTTCTCTACCAACCTGCCTTAAAAATGTGTCTCTTCATATGGACAGTCTTTGGAATGACATAAAACCCTAACATATGTAAATGTATTTACCAAATATTTTATGGGAATGTAAAGCCTATCAGATGTTACTTTCATTATTATTTCAGGATCATACATGATGGTTTATCTATTATGGGTATAATACCTTATGGATATTCAGAATGGTATACAATCAAAATTTGAATGTCCCATGGCTGCACATTGTTGTTGTTGTTGTTATGTGCCATGGAGTCAGTTCTGACTCATAGCGACCCTGTACAGGGTTTCTGAGGCTGTACGACATGTAAAATCATTCTCTGGACAATTATTCCTGATCTTTAAACTTAAAGTGGAATAGTGTGTTGCTTAAAGTCATGGGTAAGACAGCCTTATGTTTGAGTTTTCACTTTCCCACTTACCATCTGTTAGACCTTGGGTCCACACTTTAGCCTCTATGGGCTTTAGTTTTCTCATTTCAAATGAGGATAAGTGTATTTATTCATAAAATTGTTGTGAAGAGTAAATGTATTGCTAAAGAAAATGTACTTAATTCAGAACCTAGCATGTGGTAAGCAATCAACAGATGTTGGCTATTAACTAATATTGGAGTCCTGGTGTGGCACTGTAGGATAAGCATTGGACTGTTAACTGCACTGTTGGCATTTCAAAACCCACCAGCCACTCCTTGGAAAACCTGTACAGGGTCATTGTGAGTCAGAACTGACTCAACAGCACTTACCAACAACAACATTATTAACATTCAGGTAAGTTACTCAGATCATGATTCTAGAACTTTGTCATCTTGTTGTTGTTACGTGCCATCAAGTCAGTTCCTACTCATGGTAACTGTATATAGGGTTTCTGTGGAGTGGCTCATGAGTTTGAACTGCCGGCCTGGTGATTCAAACTGACCTTGCAGTCCATTTAATTGTTAAGTGCCATGGAGTCAGTTCCTATATAGGGTTTCCAAGGAGCTGCTGGTGAACTTGAACTGTTGACCCTGTCATTTAAATAGCCTTGTGGTCAACTGCTCATCCTGCAGTGCCATATAACCTAGGAAGAGGTAAAAAAGAAGACATAGAAACACCCCAGAACTAAAATTCAAGCAAAGAGAAATACAGGAAAAAAAGTAAATTAAACCAACAGCTTTCTAAGTATATCTCTATCTAAATGGGAATTTTCCTATAAATGTGCTGAGTGGCTGGTGGTACAGCTTAGTTTCAGCTAACCCAATCCTGAAGCTCTGAAGTCAGACTGGTTTACTGCAATGCTCATTTAGTTTAGGCTGTAATTACCTTTCTCTGAGATAAAAACCTCAAAGAATGGTGTCAAATGCCCACTAATTTGGGAATGTCAGTTAAAATAAGCAAATATGTGCATAGTTTATAGAACTTTTATTTACTAAAAAGCTAAAGGAACAGAAAAGCAAATAGTCCAAAATATGGATCTGGGCCACTTTCATAGGTCTTGGTACATTCCATGGAGATTATTTCCTTTGGTGTCTCAAGCTAAAGCCTTGTGTCTCGATGGAAGGTCTGTTGGAGAAAGAATCATTACTTAAGGGAGATGTCCCTTGGTTTTGTCTGAGACAGGGAGTCTCAGATCCCGGCTCACTCTCAGTTAGTGGTGTGCACAGGTAAACAACCCAAAATATATCTCACCCAAAATAGCTTCCTCCAGGACACCCTCTGTTCTATAGGCCAGGAAGACTGGGCTGGGCTGGCCTGGCATGCCTCCTAAGGAAGCAGGGAAGGTACGGGAGACCATGTTTGTTATCTGATAGCAGCTACTGCTTCTTTCCCAAGAAACCTCAGACAGTCTCTGACTCTCCCCTCCCCTTCTCCATGACCGAGCACATTCATCTGTCTATTCTCAGTGGGGATTTTTGCTTTTCTTGTCCTCTGAAGAAAAACAAGCAGAGGAAGTGAATGTAATGTTAAAACAAGCAGTTCTTGGCAAAAGGCATTGATTCAGAGCTTATATTTCGTCAGACTATCATTTTCTTTCACTCATCCAAACCACTATTCCCCCCAAAGGCCATTTTCTTTGGAGTTCAAAATGCTTAGATTTATTCTGAGGCTGGAAGAGGAGGGATAAGGAGAGGAGTCATGAATAAAACCAACTGGCTTCCAAGTTGGTGAACATAATAACACCTCACGGTGGCCTACACTGGAGAGAGCAAAACCCTTCTCCAGTGAATGTGGGATTCCATATAACTCCATACAGTGAGCCTTTGGACACACCCTCTCTCCTTCACACCCTTTTAGGACATTGATAGCATCAGCATTTCTGAGGATGTGTACTAGTGAAACCGCTTGACCAGGCCATCTGTGAAATCATTCATTGACTAATTGAGCAAGTTCCTCTACTTTTCTAAGTCTCATTTTGTTATCTACAAAATGGCAAAAAATTAGTATGCCCTCACCAGAGTTTAGTGAGGAACACATAGTATAGGTGACCACGAGTTTAAAATGATATACAAACATGAGTACTAAATAGATGATCATGTGGCATTGTGATAAGGTCCAAGGTCTATCAATGTTCTACATCTAGAAACGTGCAGATTAACACTTGATATTTTACGCCACCACGTGGATATCTTATATGGATATGTTTTAAAGTTTAATTCATCTAGTACCATTTTGAAGTAGATAGTGTTATTTTCAATTCTGTAGCTGTTGTTAGGGGCCATCAAGTAGGTACCAACTAATAGAAATGCCATGCACAGCAGAATGAAACACTACCCATTCCTGGGCCAACCTCACAATCGTTACAACTGAGCCCATTGCTGCTGTCACTGCATCAATCCATTTTATTGGGAATCTTCCTCTTTTTCTCCAACCCTTTCCCGATTTAAATCATTAGGTGTTCCTGTGTTCTGTTCGAATAACTGCATCTTAGTCTATGTACAGGTTCACACAATTAAGTGCTCTGAAATACTCATTCTTTGCAATGTTGTCCATAGCGTGTCATGATCCACACAATCAAAAATCTTTATTTAGTCAATAAAGCAATGATATCCCTCGTTCTATGTCCTCTTCTGAATCTAGTTTGAACCTCTGGAAGTTCTCTGTCAATGTATGCTTGCAGGAGTTTCTGTATTATCTTTAGTAAAACTTTACTCTTGAGGGATATCAATAATATTGTCCAATGATTTCCACATTTCCTTGGGCCACCTCTATTTGGAATGGGCACACATACAGATCTCTTCAGTCAGTTTGTCAGGTTGTTGTCTTCCAAATTTCTTGACAGAGATGATGAATGTCTCCAGTGCCACATTAGTTTGCTGAAAGATTTCAAGTTGTATTCCATCTATTGCCTTGTTCTTTGCCAATGCTTTCAATGCACCTTGGACTTCTTCTTTCAGGATACTTGGTTCTTAATCACATGCTACCTCTTGAAATGGTTAAACATCAACCATTTATTTTTGGTACAGACTCTGTGTTTCCTTCCTTCTTCTTTTGATGCTTTCTATATCATTCAATATGTTGTCCATAGAACCAGCAAGTCAAGGCTTAAATTTTTTCTTCAGTTCCCTCAGCTTGAGAAATGCTGAACATGTTCTTCCCCTTTGGTTTTCTAATTCCAGGTCTTTGCATATTTTGTTATAATATTTGATTTTGTCTTCATGAACTGAACTTTGAAATTTTCTATTCAGTTCTTGTACCTCCTCACTTCTTCCATTTGCTTTAGCATCTCTACACTGGAGAGCAAGTTTCAGAGTCTCTTCTAACATCCATTTTGGTCTTTTCCATCTCTCTCGTCTTCTTAATGACCTTTTGCTTTCTTGCTGTATGAGGTTCTTTATGTCATCCCACAACTCTTTTGGTCTTCAATTTTTAGTGTCTAATGCATCAAATCTCTTCTTGAGATAATATCTGAATTCAGGTGGGATATATTCAAAGTCATAGTTTGGCTTTCATGGACTTGTTTTAATTTTCTTCAGTTTCACCCTGAACTTGCATATGAACAGTTCATAGTCTGTTACAAAGTCTGTTCCTGGCCTTGTTTTGGCTGATGATATGGAGCTTTGCTACTGTCTCTTTCCACAGAAGTAGTCAATTTGATTTCTGTGTGTTCCTTCTGGTGAGGCCCATGTGTATAGTTGTCTTTTCTGTTGTTTAAAAAGAGGTATTATAATAAAGAAGTCATTGGTCTTACAAAATTCTATCAAGAGCTCTCCAGCATTGTTTCAATCACCAAGGCTATATTTTCCAACTACGGATCCTTCCTTTTTGCTTCCAGCTTTTGCATGCCAATTGCCAGTAATTATCTATACATCTTGATTTCATGTTTGATTCACTTCAGACTGAAGAAGTTCTCCAATTTCATCATCACTGACTTTAGTAAATTGGTGCGTAAAATAGAATAATAGTGATAATTACTGGTCTTCCATGTAGGCATGTGGATATTATCCTATTGCAGTCAGATTTGTATTTCAAGATGAATCTTGATATGTTCTTTTTGGTGATGAATGTGATGCCATTCCTCTTCAATTTGGCATTCCCAGCATAGTAAGCCATGTGATTGTCAGATTGAAGAGTCCATTTCAGCTCAGTAATACTTAGGATATTGATGTTTATGCATTCCATTTAACTTTTGACAATTTCCAATTTTCCTAGATTTGTACTTCTTACACTTCATGTTATGATTATTAATGGATGTTTGTAGCTGTTTCCCTTCATTTTGAGTTGTGCTCCATCAACAAATGAAGGTCCCGAGGGCTTTACTCCATTCACGTCCTCATGATTAACTCTACTTTGAGGAGGCAGCTCTTCCTCAGTCATATTTTGAGTGCCTATCAGCCTGAGGGTCTCATCCTCTGGCACTATATCTGACAAGATTCTGGTCCTTTTCATCATGTGTCAGTCTTCAATATTCTGGTACTGATAGTGTTTCACTGCTATTCATAGTTATGTTGAGTAACTAAATATTCAATAGTCTATCTCTCCTTCTTCGTAGTCTGTCTTTGTCTGGAAGCTCAGCTGAAACACACGTGTCCAATGTAGATGACCCTATGGTATTTAAAATACCTGTGGCCATAGCTTCCTAAATCACAGCAACATGTAAGCCACCATAGTACGACAAACTGACAGAGGAGTGGTGGTTGTTGTTCAGTTGCTGTCAATCCATTCTGACTCACAGTGACCCCATGTATACAGGATAGAGCACTCCATGTGGTTTTCAAGGCTTGGACCTTTCAGAAGCAGATCTCCTGTCCTGTCATCCTAGGCACTTTTATGTGGGTCGGAACCACCAATCTTTTAAGCTAAATCAACACTTAGGCATTTATGCTACTGCAGAGATAAGGAAAAACTAAAACATGAGTGAACTGAGTGACGTACTCAAGGTCACCCAAAACCCAAATTCAAGTTTCCTGCCTTGAAGACAAAAGCTCTACTACCTTACTGCACTGAAGTTATAAGAGCCCAAACCATGTTTACTCTGTAGTCTAAAAGTAGTGTAGTGGGTTACAAGTTGGGTTGCTCTCCACAAGGTCAGCAGTTTGGATCTACCAACTGTTTCACAGCAGAAGGATGAGGATTTTTGCTCCCATAAAGATTTACAGCCTTGGAAATCTTATATAGGGTTGTTATGTGTTGGAACTCACTCCAGTGCTCATAACCATCATCACCACAAGCTAAAGTCCTATGACTCTAGGTTTAGCCCCTCTCTGCTTCATAGGGGTACTCCACGACTGATAGGACCCCTGTGTGACATAAATGTTAAGCATTCAATTAAGGCTGGCAGTTTGAATCCACCAAGAGGAACCTCAGAAGAAAGATGTTGATTAACTTCAGAAAGATCACAGTCACTGAAAAACCTTAAGGAGCTCAGTTCTACTGTGAAACATATGAAGGTCTCCAGGAGTCAGAATCTGTCCCATAGCAACTGATTTATAAGTGATCGTTCTTAATGTTGAAAATAGGGTACATTTTAGAACCTGTATTTGCCTCTTGAAAAACATTAGGCTACTTAAGAAGGTATATGGTGGTGGTGGTGTGCCGTGAAGTCGGTTCCAACTCATAATGACCTTCCACAGGGTTTCCGAGGCTGTACATCTTTACAGGAGTAGAAAGCCTCATCTTTCTCCCACAGAACAGCTGCTAGTTTCAAACTGCTGACTTTGAGGTTAGAGCCCGATTCGTAGCCACTACAATACCAGAGCTCCTTAAGAAGGTCTATAGGGCTTTATCTTTCCAGGAACCTTTCTTGACCCATTGAGTCATTCTCCCCTTTTCCTTTTTCCTGTCATTGCCATCTCCTTAAAATTCAGCTCATTTTTGCTATTTCTTGTTTACACATTCATCTTTTAACCCCTTCCAAACTCTAATGGGAACTTCTCTAGAACTTAAGTTCTCTTCATTTTTCTTCAGAGTTCCTTATTTCTGTTGCTACAATTTAAGATACAGCTTTCACCAGTTTTCATTGTATCTGAGAACTTCACCTCTCCCTAAATGACCTCTGACTCATCCATGCCTGTCACATCATACACATGCCAAAGTAGGGGAAAAAGTACAATCCAGTGTGGTAATTCAGTTTAATGGTGGTAAGAAGTTATGGAAGATAACTTCCAAGGCTTGGTGGTTTTTATTCTGGGCACAGGAAAACACAGAAAGCCACAGTTACTATATTTTCTCACACTGACCTCTATTATTTTAAGTGGTAACTGGACTTCTGATTATTTTCCAGGTTCCGATGGAGGAGGCGGTTGCTGGTGATCTCTGCTCCTAATGATGAAGACTGGGCCTATTCACAGCAGCTCTCTGCCCTCAGTGGTCAGGCATGCAATTTTGGTGAGTGGGAGGCCACGTCATTAATGCTTCCCATACCACTGTCTTCCTGGTCAGTTTTGAAATGGAACACAGACACTTAGCTCATCCAAAGATTCCAAAGTCCAGACTGTAGATTCCCAGACACATAACTCTATTATACTGAGCACAACGTTGCTCTCATACTGGAGTCGTAGTCAATTGGGGGTATGTATAATTGTACAATAGTCTCCCTTTTTCACCTCTTCACTGAAGTGTTAGGAAATATCTATTTTACTTTGAAGTAATCTGCATTGCTTGTTTTGTTGTTTGTTTCTTAAAACTTGTCTCCAGATCATAAAAGGGTTCTATTTTATTTGCTTAGATATCATCATTGGGTACTTTTCCATAGGTTAACCATCTTTTATAAAATAGAGATGACTTTGAGAATTAATATTTTAAAATTAAAGCATGCTCAAAAAGGATGTTGATCTATAGTTGGGCACCAAGAAGGCAACAAAATCTGTTGAACAGAATTTTTTATTTTTGATATAAACAGGTCAAATGCAAATATAATTTACTTTTTTAATTGACTTGCTTGGTATTTTAAAATATAATGCGTGTTTTATTTACCAGACATTCTTATCTCTATAAGAGGCCCCAGCAGCATAAGGGGTTATGAATTGGGCTGCTAACTGAAAGGTAAGCAGTTTGAATCTACCAGCTGCTCTGTGGGAGAAAGATGAGGCTTTATGCTCCCACAAAGATTTACAGCCTTAGAAACCCTACACGGAGTCACTATGAATCGGAACAGACTCCAGCATACACAACTGCCACACCATTATAGAATTGACATAAAAAGAAAATTTACTACGTAGAATTTATTAATAAGTTCAATGGTGAGCCAAGGAGACCAGGCTCTTTTAAAAATGGAAATCACAATGATAATCTCAATTGAAATATGCCTCTGCAGTGGAAGAATTTTTATAGAAACACTAGAGGAAAACATTTTAAATATAGTTAATGGTCACAGATTAAGGAGCTCTGGTAGGATAGTGGTTATGAATCAGGCTACTAATCTCTTGGTCAGCAGTTCGAAACTACCAGCTGTTCTCCTGGAGAAAGAGGAGGCTTTCTGCTCCTGTAAAGATTTACAGCCTCAGAAACCCTGTACAGGGTCGCTGTGAGTCAGAACTGACTCCATGGCACACATAACAACAACAACAATGGTCACAGATTAGAAATTCATAGTTAGAACACAGATGAGTCAGCATTATTTTGATACTTCTATTAGGAAGATGAATCATCGATTTATTATAAAACTTTGCTGAATTGAAAGCAAAATAAGATAGGGGATAAGTTTTCCAAACGTTAACAGAGTCCGGGGCTTTGCTGTGACATAATTGTAAATTATAAATCCATTTCAATATTAAGATGTGAGATAATAACTCAAGTGAAGTTAAAAACATATAACAGTAAGAATAACTAAAAAGTTTCTGAATTTTTATTTAGGCAATTATCAAGGTTAATAATTTAATACCTTACTAAGACTTGACTGTGCCAATATTCTTAAGTCTATTTAAAATTATTTATTGTCACTAATGGTGTGGTGCTACAGGATAATGCACTGGACTGAAAGGTTGGTTTGAACTTCATGGTTGGCAGTTCAAGTTCACCAACTGCTCCTAGGAAACCCTATACAGGGTCTCTATGAGTTGGAATTGACTTGGCGGCATTTAACAACAACAATCGTGTAGCCCTGTAGGATAAACACTGAACTGCAAGGTTGGTGGTTCCAATCAACAAATTGCTCCTCAGAAACCCTATACAGGGCTGCTATGAGTCAGAACCAACTCAACAACACTGAACAACAGCAACAGTTATGCTAAGTAAGACATTTGTAGAGCAGTAAATCATGACTTGTTGCTTTCAGGGCCTTTGAACTGGTTCCCTGTTCAAACATAGCCATATGAAATGAAACCTAAACAGACCCAAATTTATAACATAAGGGTTCCTGGCATGATAACTGGAATGGGAAAATTATGGGTCGACACCCTGCTAGAAACTTAACCTCCTCTTAGAAAAAAAAAAAAAAAACAGTATTTGTTTGTGCTGCATAGCAACCAAGTATCTTGATTGGCAGAGTCAGAAGCAACAGAGCCCTACTCAAAGATGGTAGCTAACCACATCATTTTGACTGTGTTACTCTCCATAATTCTGGCAATAATCCAGTCTTCTATGTCAAGCTCCAGAAGGGAGTCACTATGTCTATTCTTAACCTCAAAGTCTTTGACCCATAATTGTTCCCATTCATGTTATTGTTCCAGGATACCCACAATTTACAACTTTAGATCTGTTTCAATTTCCCTCTGTCAGTCAAGAATGAACCAGTTAGAATTGATTTGAAGCCCTAGTCAATTTCTTAGCACACAGCGCCTGTATTACATCAGTGTCAGCAAGCCTTTTTACAATACACTGGAAATATGAAAAGTCTTATTGTCTAGTTATAATTAAATTAATGCACTTCCTTTATAAAAACACCAACATTTATAGTAGAATCTTATACATAATAGAAAATGGTATTGTTGTTAAGTGCTGTCAAGTCAGTTCCCATGCATAGCAATGCTGTATAGAGCTTCTGAGGAGTAGCTGGTGGTTTTGAACCACCGACCTTGAAGTCCAATCTGATCTTGCTTATCCTACAGCACCATACAAGGGACCCAAATACATAACAGAAAATAATATAATGTGTTTAATTTTAACATATTTATTCCCAACGTCATTTCTATGGAACAACAATAAAGACAGAAAACAATATTTTAAGATCTTTTTGCTTGTATTTCTGGATCTTAGCTCCTACTTCAAAGAACCCTCCCATGACAGCTTTAAATTTTCTTTCCTGAACAACAAATACCTTCAATATTAATTTTATTAGTTCTAAATTACTATTCTGAGAGACTGGCAGTTTATCTAAAATTGTGAAATCTTGATGTGATTATTTGACAGACCCCCTGTCCTCCTATTTTCTTTCTCCTGAATCACTTCATCTTTCATCTTCAAAAGAATTCCAACCAAATACCAAGGCCTGACCTTCCCTCTTTTCCTGAAACTTTAGGGGGTGGGCATATGAAGGCAAGTTGTGTTTGCCCGAGTATTCCTTTCTCCTTTGAATCCTCTAAAGAAGTTATAAAAATCTGCTCTTTATTTAGGTCAAACAAACTTTTGAGAGAGGAAGCCCATAGTTATTACTTTAGCATCACAAGTTAAGATCTTCAATCCTTTCTTTGAGAGAAAGTTATCCATAAAGGCTATTATGATTTCAGACTTACCTTTGTTTTCCAGTACACTAACCAGCTTAGATCGCTGTAGAAATTTTAATGCTCCAAAGAGTTTATTTATGTTTTGTTATTTAATAGAGTGAGAATCTCAATTTAAGAGAAAATTCTTCTATAGATGAGGATATATAGAAAAACAAATAATAATTTGACCCAATTGTTCATCTTAAAATAATTCATTGGTCATCTTTCAGGGTTTTAAAAATATTTTATTATTTTCTCAGGGAAAAAGTTTAATGGATTATTCTGTCTTTTTAGGTTATGTTCTATATTCTTTTTAAATTTAGGAGACTTGTAATTGTTAGATCTCAGATCCTTGGAAGTAAAAGATGACATAGAATCCTTTACCATAATTCTGTACCTTTCTTTCCTTTCAGGTCTGCGCCACATAACTATTCTGAAGCTTTTAGGTACTGGAGAAGAAATTGGTGGAGTTTTAGAACTGTTCCCGATTAATGGTAATATGTTGTTATTTTAAAACAGTTAAATTATATTAAGCAATATGTAAGCACCAAGTGTCCCTCTCAGGTGAAAGTTCACTGAATCCCCCTCCTACCTTGCCTGTATATGTGTGTGTATGTACAGAGTGTAGGGGGAGGGTACGGGAGGTGGAGAGCAAAGACTAATATAAAACCCCTTAAAATGATATAAAATGTCAATTTATTAACTACAATAATATTTTTTATCTTTATAGGGCTTTATGGTATACAAAACATTTTGATTTGTTCATCATTTCATTCTCACAATAGTTCCACGAAGCAATAGGCCAAATTGCAATTATTCCCTTTGATAGATAAGGATGGATTCCTGGTGTGGCACTGTAGGGTAAGCACTGGACTGCTAACCAAAAGGCCAGAGGTTCAAACCCACCAGCTGCTCCTTGGAAACCCTATACAGCGTTGCTGTGAGTCAGAAGTGACTTGGTGGCACTTAACAACAGCAACAACAATAGATGAAAATATATACTAAAGGCTCATAGGTACAGGAAGAAAATCACTAGTGGTTTAAGTTTCAGAAAACAAATCCAGTTCTTCCTCTTAGGAACAAGCTCTTTACATGAGGTTTGTGTAAAATACCTAGCACAAGTAAATGCTATCTACCTTGCCCCTTCCAATTTCTTCTTTTCACTAACCATGGTCTAAATACGTTTGTCTAAAGCTTCTGTAACTGGAATATTCCACCTTTCGCTATGACATAATATCACAAGTAAAAGTGCAATTGCAAAACAATGAGCAACTACACTAATTGAAAGTAAGTTTAGAAATATAAATAATATCATCTTTGTTCATGATAAAATTTAAAGAAACTCATCTTGCCAAGATTAAATTGTTTTTGTTGTTGTTAAGTGCCGTCAAGTTGGTTCCAACTCATAGTGACCCTGTATAGGGCTTCCAGGGAGTGGCTGGTGAGCTTGAAATACCAACCTTGCAGTTCAAAGGGACCTTGCAGTTTAGTGCATTAACCCACAGCGTCACACCAGGACTCCAAGATTAAATTAAGGGACTCATTTTTAGTGTGCAACATGCCTATGAACGAGGCATTAAGTGCCCCAAAGTTTGATACTAACCCTAAATAGCAGGAACATTTAAAATTCCTAGTAGAAAAAGCAGCATATTTCTTTAATTGGATTTTGAACCACAGGGAAGAAGCTCACGGGTCTTCCATCTATTCTCACAGTGATTTCTCACATCTCACTTTGATGTTTCTCTGAGCTCTGATTCTTGAATCAGCTAACGAGTATTCCAATTCTTTTTCTAGGGAGCTCTGTTGTTGATCGAGAAGATGTACCTGCCCATTTGGTGAAAGACATTCGTAACTATTTTCAAGTGAGTCCCGAGTATTTCTCCATGCTTCTAGTTGGAAAAGACGGAAATGTCAAGTCCTGGTATCCTTCTCCAATGTGGTCCATGGTGATTGTGTACGATTTAATTGATTCAATGCAACTCCGGAGACAGGAAATGGCCATTCAGCAGTCACTGGGGATGCGCTGCCCTGAAGATGAGTATGCAGGCTATGGTTACCATCAAGGATACCAGGATGGTTACCAGGATGATTACCGTCATCATGAGAGTTACCACCATGGATACCCTTACTGAACAGAAATATGCAGCCTTAGCCCCAGCCACTGTCCCCTACAGCTGCTGAAGCCACATGTGGCCAGCTAAGTAAAGGAGTTTTTCCACACTGCCTACATTCCTTGTCTTTTTCTTTCATTGTTCTCCTAAGACTAAATAAATAGTAAACTTTTGCCTACTCATGACTTGTTATTGAAGCTTTAAAGCATAAGTATTTCTCTAATGGAAGCCATCTGGTGCTCATTATTCCATTGAAAATGATTATTCCTTTTCATATAATGGACACTATTTGGTAGAGAAAAAAAAAAAAAACATATATAATAAGCATTGCTACACTTCTCTTTTAAGGAGACATGGTAGCATAGAGGGTTACACATTGGGCTGCTAACTGAAAGGTTGACAGTTCAAATTTACCAGCTGTTCTGTGGGAAAAAGATGAAGCTGTCTATTCCCCTAAAGATTTGCAGTCTCAGAAACTCTCTGGAGCAGTTTTACTCTGTCTCATAGGACCTCTGCAGTCCTGGGGTAGCTCTGCAGGTTAACATGCTGGACTGCAAAATTGATTTGCACAGCAAGGTTGGTGGTTCAAGCTTACCAGGTGATCCTTGTAAACCCTATGTGGGGTCGGAATCGACTCGACAACACTTAACAACACCAACAACAAAGGGTTTCTATGAGTCAAAATCAACTCCATGGCAGTGGGTTTGGTTTTTTAATACTTCTCGTTTTCTTTATTTTAGGATTTATTGAAAACTATGGTTGTTAAAGAATATTCATCAGACATCCTGGAACAGGTGTTTTCAGAAACAATTTCTTAATGACTTTGAAATGTTAAAAATGATGAAGAGCATCCTGCTTTTATTGTCCATTTCTTTCATGAAGTTGAGTCCAGTGATGGTGGTGGTGGTGCTTGTATGCTATAGAGTCAGTTCTGACTCATAGTAACCTTGTATAGGGTTTCCAAGGCAGTAGATCTTTACAGGAGCAGAAAGGCTCTTCTTTCTCCCACAGAGAGGCTGGTAGATTCGAACTGCTGACCTTCCAGTTAACAGCCCAGTTTATAATCCACTACACTACCAAGACTCCTTATAGGTGTTCAGTGATAGTGATCATCCAAAGCTTAAGAAAGGATCAAACCCAACTTTGTGATCACAGCTATTTCCTGCCCTGTTTTTGTTATCTTTAGTGAGAGGTACTGGGAAAAAGGAATCCCTAAATCTTCATTAGAATCTGCTGTTGCTGCCAAGAGTGATACTCTCAGAGTTCTAGCAGGGAAACCCAAAATTAAGCCTTCGCCTCTCTCTCTCTCTCTCTCTCTCTCTCTCTCTCTCTCTCTCTCTCTCTCTCTTTCTCGGTGTAGAGAGCTTTCTTCTTCTCCTTGGCCAGTAGTCTATCTGCACCTGCTGCTTGAGTTAGAGGCCAAGTAGCCAGTTTGATGTAGATTGCTCTTAAATTTCTGCAAAGATGACACACAGCTCAAAATTACTATATAATGGGTTTACCATTGATTCTGAAATTACTTAAAAATAATGCGTAAATAAGGATCCCAAATATTCTTCATTTCAGAAAAGATAGTAAAGAAGAAGTTTCTTCTCTAAGAAAAATAGTTGAATCTGACTGAATAATGGGAAAATTTAATCAATTTTATTATTTGGATTCATTTATTAATGGAAAATAATGTTAATTAGACTTATTTTGCAACTAGACACACAACACTTTTTCAAATCTGAGAAGACTTTTTCACTAGCCCTGAGATAATTCTTGATAATGCACCTGAACTCTCCTTCTAATGAGTAAGGCAAGAAGTCATCCTTCATTATTTGGAGTGCTGTGGAATAAACCACAACTCAACAAGGAACTGGAACACACTCAGAGGAAGATACTATTGGTAAATGTCCTAAAATCCTATGTTGTTGTTGTTAAGTGCCTTTCAGTCAGTTCCAACCCATAGAGACCCTGTATAGTGTTTCCTAGGAGCTGCTGGTGAGCTTGAACCACTGATCTTGCAGTTCAAACTGACTTTGCAGTCCAGCACATTAACACACAGCACCACACAAGGGGTAGTCTGGAAAAATGCAATTTACATCACAGAAAATAAGGAGATTGGAGAATTAGGTAACAGATTCTTTCTCTGCTGGGAGACCAGGTAATTTGAGATCTGAGAATTTCTTGTTCTTATCTAGCTCTGTGACCTTTATGACTCTTTCTGGACCCTTAGCCCAGATGTTTCATATGACTGAATGTACGTCAAATTCTCAGAGAATTCAGACTTCATAGTTTAGAATCTAGTTCCTGACTTTTGTAGAACTAGAGAATGATATTAAATATCTTCATTGGATTCGTTCCAGAACAATGCATTACTGTGGCTGAAACTCAAAGGGTCATCACCTCTAATGCACAGAAACCCTAGCCCTTTTGTTATGGTCAAACTGAAGTTTCCAAGAATATTCAGGGAGACAAGGACTGTGGGCAGCATCAACACCAAGAGAGTCCCTTCAATAAGCCATATATGTGGGCCTCAATGTAATTTCCTAATTTGATGACTACATATGCAGCCCCTCTCTGGTATCCTGAAGCTTAGACAAATGACTGCACAGACCTTAACTATTCACATTTCCCTTCTGGAAAGCAAAAGAATGGTCCTGTATTCCCCAATCCATGAGTTGATACATGTACCAGGGTACAGATTAATGGGGTGGGATAATTAGCAGGGAGTGTGGTGGCTCCATAAGATAAAGCATTGGACTATGAACCACAAGGTTAGTGGTTTGAGCCCACCAGCTGTTCTACAGAAGGAAGTTTAATCCCTGTACAGTGTCATATGAGTTGGAACAGACTTGACAACACTTAACAACAATGATTTTAGCATCTAACACTGATTCTGGGCAAAATTTTCTTTAGCTTCCCTTCTCCATCATCAGCGTCCATTAGCTCTGTACTGGCCCTTTCCCCTTTCCCAGGCCTTACTCCCATGATTCATTCTGGTTCTCAGATTGCTACAACTGATTAGGTGTAACTGATAGGCTAACGGTGCTAATCTTTCCAAGAATATCTACAATTCAAAAAGAGAACCTTGATGAAGTGGGGAGGTAGGGAACACCTTGGAAAGACATTTCTGAAAGACTGCCAGTTCCTACTGCAATCAAGCCTCACTTTATTTCCCAGAAAATGTAAATTCCACCTCTAGCCTTCAACACCATTCAGATTCTGTCTCTTTCACAAAGTCTCTTTTTTATCTTTGTCTTGCTTCTATCATATACTGTCTTTGGAGAGCCAATTAGGACAGGGTAGGTGAGGAAGGAAATAAGGCCAACTTTGACAAATCCTCTTCAGGGATAGCTGGAAATGTTCATGTGTGGAAAGAATCATCTGATTATTTCAATTCTTAATCCAAGGTATTATTTTATTGGTAAGATTGAAAATTATATGGCAATTCAAACTCTTATTGTATTTCTGCCACTTTATATGTACTTTGCTAGAAACCAGGAATGCAAAAATGAAAAAAGCATTCCCTGGGCAGAAGCCTCATCTTTCTCCGCGGAGCCACTGGTAATTTCGAACTGCTGGCCTTAAGGTTCACAGCCCAATTCATAACCACTACGCTACCTTGCCTTTATAGGCCCCCCCATTTTGGGTAGCCAATGTCTAAGTTGCCTATCCCTGTCAATCGAGTGTACCGAGGGGGTGGGAGTGATCCTCGCTGTAAAGATTTGTTCCCTTTTTTGAGATACTACATCCATTTTGTTGTTGTAGTTGTTAGGTGCCATCGAGTCAGTACCGACCCATAGTGACGTTATTCACAGCAGAACAAAACACTACTCGATCCTGGGCCAACCTCACTATTGTTGCCACACTTGAGGCCATTGATGCCACCACTTGGCCAATCCATCGCATTGGGGGTCTTCCGCTCTTTCTCTGACCCACCACCTTACCAAACATGATATCTTTCTCGAGCGACTGGTCCCTCCTGACAGTATGTCCAAAGTTTGAGAGGACAAGTTTGGCCATCTTGACCTCTAAGGAGCACTCTGGCTGCACTTCTTCCAACCTGCATCTATTGGTTCTTTTGGCAGCCCATGGCACTTTTAGTATTCTCCTCCAACACCATAACTCAAAAGCATCAATTCTTCTATGGTCTTCCTTATTCACTGTCCAGCTTCCGCATGCATATGAGGTTATTGAAAATACCATGGCTTGGGTCAAGCGCAGCTTAGTCCTCAAGCTGACATCTTTGCTCTTCAACACTTTAAAAAGTCTTATGCAGCATATTTGCCTAATGCCATATGTCATCTGATGTCTTGACTGCTGCTTCCGTTAGTGTTGATGTTGATCCAAGAAGAATGAAGTCCTTGACAACTTCAATCTTTTCTCCATTGATAAGAACGGTGTTTATTGGTCCAGTGGTGAAGATTTTTGTTTTCTTTACATTGAGATGTAATCCATACTGAAGGCTGTGCTCTTTGATCTTCATCAGTAAATGTTTTAAATCCTCTACACTTTCAGCAAGCAAGGTTGTATCATCTGCATATTGCAGGTTGTTAATGAGTCTTCCTCCAATTCTGATGCCACATTTTTCTTCATAGAACACAGCTTATCGGATTATTTGCTCAGCATACAAGTTGAATAAGTATGGTGAAAGAATACAACCCTGTCGCACATCTTTCTTAATTTTAAAACATTCAGTGTTCCCATGTTCTGTTTGAATAGCTGCCTCTTGGTTCATGTGCAGATTCCTCATGAGCACAATGACGTGTTCTGGAATACTCATACTTTGCAGTGCTGTCAATAGCTTGTCATGATCCACACAATCAAAAACCTTTGTGGAGTCAATAAAGCACAGGTAAACATCTTTCTGATATTATCTGCTTTCAGCCAAGATCCATCGGCCATCAGCAATGATATAACTCATTCCACGGCCTCTTCTGAATCTGGCTTGAACCTCTGGAAGTTCACTGTCAATGTATAATTGTAGCCATTAGCAAAACTTTACTTGCTTGAGATATCAAAGAGATTGTTCGATGATTTCCACATTCCTTTGGGATCATTTAAGATGGTGGATGCAGTGAGGAGTTCATCACCAACAACACAGAATACCGGATCAAGAAGGCTCAGGGGATGGTGCTAGAACTCTGAACTACATATAAAGGAATATTTAGAAGATTGGAAGGCTTACAGCTA